AACCCTGACCCCGTAACTCCTCAAAGCTGCTAGACAAAAGACCTTCCCATTTCAAAATAAAAAGCATCCTAGATGTCCAAGCCAAAAGCCAAGCTCTGCTACCAAGTCTATTTCAGTTCAGTCCAAGCACACGATTTATTCTGTAATATAAGTGTCTATAGCGACCCCATTGAGTAAGGTACAACTGCCTCCGTGAGTCCTTATGAGTTGTTATTGACTCGATGGCATTTCAGGTTCCAAAAGAATTATTAGTACAATCGAGTCATGATATCTAAATTCAGTTAAAGCACCCATTCAAATAACAAACATTTAAAAGGTACTAGTATGAGCTGATCAATGTTCAATGAATTGAACACATATTAAATCACTTAATCTGGATCCTGCATCTACTGCCTTTTCTAACACATATTTGTTTAATTCTCACAAAGTCCCTGTTCCATCAGCATATTGATTTTTTTAAATATTTTAATACAGTAATAATAAAGCTGGTAAGGAAAAATGTTACCAACTGGTGTCTAGGTGAATGAAAAACACTCATTCAGGAGTTACTGTGCTTTCCTTGCAATCTCCCTATAAATTTGAATTTTTCAAAACAAAAAGTTAAAAATTGTTCTTACCATCATATAATGGAGATGTTTTGTGAAAGTGATGACCAAGTTCCCTATTGCTGGTCAGCAAAGGGGGCTTTAAGATAAGAGAACGCTTTAGGTCTCACCAATGTCCCACTATACTTGACACCTAAATTGTCCACACCATTCCCGTCACACTGAAAGGGTCCCTGGAGAGAAAGTAGCCTGGAAAAGAGGGGACACGTGCCTACCTGAGAACTATTCTGTTTTTACTAATATATTCTATACTTCCTAAAATACTGGCCCTATTGCCATGCTCAATAATGAACTGGAGGGTGGGGGACCTACTTCCAAAAGGTACATTATAAAACCTAACTAAATGTCCCCTTGATCTAACCAGAACACTTGTCATCCCCCCTTCCTATCTCCCTACCAGGCAGTTTATCAATGCTCTACTGCCAATCTTGGAGGCATCTCCAAGCATTTAAGCAGCGCAATCTCCCTTTCAGCTTCATGTGATATTTAACCCCTTTGGTTAGTAACAGATCACATAAGAATATTCGTCTCCTGATTGTCTTTCGTTCATTCTTTTAGACAAATTTCTCCGATACTATCACACTAAACTACCCGTAGAAAGTATTGGGTTCCTAAACTCACAAACTTGCCATCCATTTCATGAACAAAATCTTTTGAACTTTCATAGCCGTATCGACGACAAAAAAACCACAATAACAAAATATTCTCGGGGTTTCAAAATGTTCATGGAAATTTTATTATCTTTTAATTCCATTTTTCCACAATTCCTTTGAAGCCCCCTCATATTTTCTTTCAAACATCAACTTCAAAACTAACCTTTTGATGCTCATCTCAAACGTTTCATGTTCTTAGTAACAAGTGTAAGGAACACACCTTCCAACACAATACTGAAAGCAACACATCCCGTGCCCACTTCTTGTCCCTCGGAGCTGCTTACACCTGAGGTTGTCACTGGTTGCCTGATCCAGTAAAGTATGCCGACAGCTTCCTTTACTTGAACACGAACTGACTGGGACCCTGGCTTTTTACACATTCTTTGTATTGCTGCCCCAGAAAGGAAACAGGATTAAGGAAAACTGAAATTATCATTTCAATTATTTCCAGAAACTTTGCTGAAAAACAGAACGGAGATGTGTGAAAGAAAGGTTTTAAAAATAGATGACAAATGTGTTCATCTGTGCTGCTGTGCTTCCCATTCTCAACTTTCTGCCGGAGTCCCGCACAAAAATCTCTCACTGCTGCTCATCAAGTGCCTTATTTAACCGGGGCTTTGTAAGCACCTCATTTGGAGCACCAGACACTAAAACAGGTGTTAAAAGGATACAGAGATAAGACAGTACCTACACTCATGCAGCTCACACTCTAGTGAAAGTCAAAATAAAGATAATTATAACAGTGTGACACATACACTATTTGAACTACCTGCTAAAAGACTCTCTGAGCCAAGCTGGCAAACCCATTCCAAAACACATGCCTGGAAATTCTCTGAAAAGAGAAATTCCACTGATAATCAAAGTTTGGGGCACTTCCAGAAAGTTAATGAAATTAGGCCAGTAATAGTATGCGTATGGAAAGATTGCTGTTCTTAAAACTGGAATACTATCCATTCTGGCTTATCTCACACCTAGGGACCTTAAGGAAAACAAATCGTTTACATACATTACTCCAACTTGGGTGACAAGCCCGCTAAATAAGAACTAGCAAGGGCTCACTTTGGTTCTGGCGGGTTTTTCCAGACTCTCTAGAGATGGCAGTGTATTAGTGGTTAAGTCCATGGACTTTGTGGGGAGGTTTAGCAAATGTCTAGTTTCTCAGAGATGCAATTTTCTTTAAAAAAAGAAAAAGATTGTTGTGGGAAATTAAGTAAATAGTAACAAGTAAAATGCTATCAGTTAAAAAAAATTAAAAGGATGGATGAGTTAGTACCAGGTGATCATCAGTTACCAAAATAGAACAGCAAAACATAGAGGTAATCATTTTGTTATTCCAATTGATCATGATCTATGCTTATCTTTATCCACCCAGTCTCACCACGCCTAGAGAAGTATCTCATAAACCTGAGGCTGGAGTTTTTTTGGTTTTGTTTTAAATCTCCAACAGTCCTAATTTTATACTAGCTGAGAGATCATGTTCTAGCCCCTCTACCTCTCCTCCCTAATCGGAACTCTAAGAAAGGCACTAAAGTTCTAACCTTCCAGACTGGACCCATCCCACCTGGAACACACACAACAAAGAAACCAAGGGTCTACGGAGTCTATGCGAGCCAAATCTGGAAAGGAAAATCTGCATAATTCATATTTATTCCACTTCAGCTTCCCCTCCAAACTAACATGCCAATCAAAAGAAAAGCAATTTTAAAGTAAAAGGAGATGTACTTATCCCCACCCCCACTGTATTCTCTGAAAGAATTAAGGGTGGGGAGGTAAAAGAAACCTTCCATCTTAGCACCCAAACCTCCATCCTATGCACGTCAAAACAAAGCCTTCAGTTCGTGGAGGTGGTCCTGGACGCTAGTGAGGTAGGACGCTCACTGCAGCTACACAAAGCCCAGGATTTAAAGCCAGACCCAAATCACCACCACTCAGTCATCCAGAACCTATCTGGAAACTGCCTTTGTACTCCACTCCTTCCGATTCCCTTATCCCTCCCCCTAAAGGTGGAGTGGGAAACCGACGCTCTGGCAGTAACAAGACCAACCCTTCAAAGAGCCACCAGGAAACCTCCAGAGGCATGGGTCAGGGCAAAGAGAACATTTGCAAGGAAATTTAGAAAATACAAAAAACATAACTCCAGTCCTGAGGATTGTCCACATTGTCTGTTTTATTTTTTTCTTTCCCCTTCTAACTACACTTGCTATAATTAGGAGTTCGAGGCATTACACAGTTAAGATCGCCCTTGCAGAGATTATATTAACAAGAGGAACAAAGTTCTGCTTCCTCGGAAACCACATCTTACAAGGATGAAATCATCTTTCAATTTCAAGAAATAGCCTCATTCTATTAAAAAGAAATTCAAGGAAGCGTTCTGGTCTAAGAAGAACTGGAGAGCAGACGCAGGGAACGATTACAGATATATACCAGCTTCAAGCTAATGGGCAGTTTGCACAGTAAGGCCCATCTTGGTCCAATCAAGGCAGTATCTATTCCAGCTATACTTTTCAGATTGATTTATATTTTCAAAGGGAGAAGGTGGAGAACAGCTCCCCACCCCCACCCCACCCTTTCTCAACAGCTGGCGAGTTTGGGCAATATAACTCTCTAGAATGAGCATTTTTGCAAGAATGTATTTGCAGAAACAAACCAGATCTTAGGGTGAGTGTTAGACATGAAAGCGCAGTCTGATTTCATGGTAAATTAACCAAACAAAAAGCACACCTCCAAGAAACAACTTTCCGTTTGGTTTAAAAATAGAAATTCTCTTTGTGCTTTCTCAGTTGCATTTCACACACTACAGTATACACACTACAGTATACACGAGTGGCTTCTCTTCACCTAACCTTATTCTTTCTTTAATCGGCCGCCTTTTCACTGAGCACCAAGCTGGAAATGTTTTCAGGTGTGTTACGACGTTACTCAGGTAAAGTGAAAGGCATGATATGAATTTCCTTATCCCTAGAAGCACTTTGACCATACAACTCCTTTACAAGCCTTGGGCAGCAAAGGTAGCTGTAGGAGGAAGGCGGGGAAGGCAATTCAACTAACATGGATCCACTTGTTTTCTTTTATAAGGCAAAACAGGAAGGCTACGTCTAGCAGGAGTGAGGCTCCCACCCACCGCACCTGGAAAAGTAAAAGAAGGATCCACCCAGCAGGCAGAAACCGATCCGTTCAAGCTCTCAGGGGTGGGGGGAGAAACCACCATTTACACTACAGAGCTCCCTGCAACTTTCCAATTGGCACCAAATCGAGGATTAAAAAGGGAAAGGGGGCGGGGGGATAAGTTTGGAGACATGGAGAAGCATCTGTATAACTAGCTCCCGACCCGGACAAATTCCTTTCCCAACCCACACGCAACATGCCAACAAACCAACTTTGGGTTTGGGCTCTGAACCCAGGGGAGGGGGGAGAAAAGAAATCAAAGTACACACCAAAATGTAAATATACAGAACTTACCCCTCCGGATCTAGAGGCTCCTTCTATTAGAGAAACCTAGAAGTTCCTTTCTAGGTCTTGTATATTTTACCGTTTTTAAAAATAAAGCAAAATACCAAAATCCCCCAAAGCACTGAAAGTACACAGAAAAAGTATAAAAATCGCTTAAAAGTCACCCGTCAGCACAGCCGACTCACTCTCGTTTTTAAATTCCCTCTGGTTACCGTAAGACAAAAATTCGACGGGTTATTCCTCCTATGCCCGTCTGTAACGCATTCTCGGTTGTTTTTTTAAAGGCACACACCTCAGATGTGGAGTTCTTAAAAATCAGTCCTTTAAGAAAGAAATCCAAGGCTTCGCCGATGTGCTGAGAAAGACAAATCCGGCAAGGCAGGAGATTTTTCGCCACCTCTTCCTCCTTTCGGGATCTTTCAGGATCTTGCCTGCTCTTCTTTCTCTCGCTCCCTCTCCCACTTTTTTTTTTTTTTTTCCTCTCAGATCCAACACCTAAAATGGAAGTTGCACCCAGCCAAAGGCAAGGAAGCCTGGGTGGTGACAAACTGATCTGGCAGCCCTACCCCCTCGCTTTCCTAAGTGATGTCAGCCCCTGAGAGCTTCCAATAGGAGCCAGGCATACATCAGGGAGCTGAGCTTATCCAATAGGAAACTTTATTATAGGAAATTAAAAAAAAGAGAGAGGAGGAGAGACAGAGACAGGGGGAAGCTTTATATATATATTTATATTTAAAGTGGAGACAGTACTGTCTCCCAGGAATTGCTGCAGAGCTCGCGGCGGGGGTGGGGTGGAGTGGGGGGGTGTTAAGGGCTTCTAAGAATGACCCGCCTAAACCACGTTCTCTTTGATGGGGAGGGAATGAGGGAGTTCGTGCGCCCTCTCCCTTCCTTTCCAAGTGTGGAAACAGAAAAGAGTGGTTTTATTTGCCGGCTTGTGTATCATTTGCTGCTTTCCACCCACAGGCGTTTTCCCAAAGGAAGACAGGAAGGGAAGGGAGAGAAAATCCTACAGGACCACTATGTGTGGATGCGATGAGAGGGGATAGATGTGAAGTCAATTTCACTAGTTTGGTTTAATTGCATTCAAGCTGATTAGGGCGGGGGGAGATGGCTTGGGCTTGTAACAGTTTCAAACTGAAGCTACTGGACTAATGTCAAATATCTCTGTCTTTCCCATTTGCCCCCAAATCAAAATAACTGGGTTTGAGGGAAAGCTATGTGAAATCCAATAAGCAAGCAATAGATTTTGAGAAAGAGCATGTATAGAGGTCTAGATAAAGACATGTACATATGCAAATATATTTATATATGCGGATGGGGAAATAGATCTATGTGCATATATTTATAGGTTTAGTATTAAGGTAGCAGGAGGACATTGGGCCTCCACTCAAGTACTCCCTCAATGCAAGAATACTTTCTTCTATTAAATTGGCATTCTATGATGCTCACCTTCCCGAC